CTGGAGATTCACACACACACAACATTTGAAACATAACAAAATAGTATTCAGTTGGTTCTGCTTGATTCATCAAATTTAATCCATTCAAATTCATGTCTTTGAAGCAGCAGTCAATCTAAATGAACTAATAAAGGTAATTTTAGGTTGTATTTCTTTATTTGATTTTCAAAGGGGCCAAGTTTTAAAAAAAATGTGTGCAGTTTGTTTATGTTAATAAAATTTAACAATGCTTTCCAAAATGCTGAGAGATGAGTGTCTGTAATAGCCTCTGACCCACTGACCTGGATATTCAGCCTCCCCCTGTGAGGACCCAGCCCTGACCGCTGGTAGGACGAAGCTTGAATCTGGCTGTCATCAACTCGCAGGGACTCCAGGCCGAGGGGAGGACAGTCTGCGCGGAAAACAAAAGTGAATCGTCACGCGATAAGATCTTCTCTGGGTTTCTGTCTCCACATGTTGATCCTCTGCAGAAGCAGCTCTGAGATTGACAGCGGAAGGGTTAACCTTTCTCTCTCTTTGTGGTTTGTCTGAGTAAGCAAACACATGCCAGATGTAAAACGAGCTCCAAGCTGTTATGTGAAATATCTCTGATCATCTTGGGCCAGTTCTGTGGAAGTTTGAAGGCCCCTCACCTCCTCCTCCCCCTGCTCTGCTTGTTTCGGGGAGTAGAGGAAGCTGCAGATATTGGAAATAGTGGAGGCTTTGGATGTAATTTGAGACAAAGTGCAGAAAAGTCAAATGTTCAGCAGATCAGGGAGGTGAGAGCTACAGCTGCAGGGGATTCTGTGGTTTAGGGAACAACTAATAACATTCACATCAGTCACAAGTAGGTCAAAACAGCTAAATCCAACATATTGAGCAACAGCAAGTATTACAAGCAGTAACAAATGCTAAACAGTGTTATACAGCTGTGTATAGCTGAAATACATATTCCTTTAAGTGACTGACTGAGAAGAGATTTTTAAAAGCAAAGCTAAGCTAAAACTAAACTTCAAACTAACTTTACTGGGATTTTTTTGACCTTCTATGATTGTAAATACAATATAATAATAGCAATAATTATCTCCATCTACTTTTACAGCTTCATTTGTGTTAAAGGTTTTAAAAAGGTAGGTATCACAATTTAATTGCCTCTTTAATTAATATGGAGTTAATACTGGAGCTCATAACACAGCTTCATGCAAAAATCAGACTAAATGGGTAATTTTTTTCCTACCCAGTTTCGATTTGTCATCTTCAGTTTTGCGGTCTCTTGGGTCTTTCTCTTTCTTGTTTCTTTCTTTGCTGGTGTCCGTGGTGTCCAGCTGTTTGTCTCTGACAGTGGTGGTGAAAATGTCTGGCTCTGCTGTTGCTGGAGTCGTTCCGTCCCTGCTCTCGCCCTTCACAGCCTCGGTCCAATTCAGAGTTGGCCTTGTTGTTGTTGTGTAGTTGATTAATGCATAACTCTTAGTCGGTGCTGGGGTGTTTATCAGTGCTGCAGCACTGTGTGTCAAAAGTCCCAGAAAAAGCACTGCAGGCAGCATGCACAATGACTTTTCCATCCTGGTCTTTGTTGCTGGAGAAGAGTGAGGGGGGAAAAAATTCCCCTTTGGTTTATGAGCCAGACCTCCATCCACCTCCCCTCCTCCTCAGTCCCACCTCCCCTTACTCCCTCACTCTTCCTCCCTCCCTCCCAAAATTCCAGCTGAAGTCCTGCAAAAAATTGTGACAGCAAATGTATCTGTGCGTGGTTACAATATAGGCTGTGTGTGCCCGTGGGAACCAAACACTGAGCTGCCTTCAAAAAATTTGTTAAAATGATGATTAGAAATGTGTTTATCATAACAAAGTGAGCATGTAGTTTTATAGCACTTGAAAAGTGGGGTTTCTAGTCCTCTTATAATGATTCAGACTTACTGTGCCAAGCTCTTTTGAACAGGACTGCACAAGTTGTCCACAATGAGTTAAAAAATGAAATGGTTTTGGTGCATGAAGAACCACCTTCAGCAGCAATAATTTGAAGTAATTGTTTTCTGCATGATCCAGGTCATGTAGCTACAAAACAAGCGCAAATCATCACCTCTCCACTACCGTGCTTGACCGCTGATATGATGTGTTCGTGTTGATTTGCTGTGTTTGGTTTTCTCCAAACGTGGAGCATTGCATTACAGACAAAGATCTCCACTTTTGTCTCGTCTGTCCAAAGGACATTGTTCCAGAAGTTGTGTGGTTTGTTCACACGTAACTTTGCAAAGCTAAGCGATGCTGGCATGATTTTAGAAAGAAGAGGTTTTCTCTTGGCGAACCTCCCAAATAAGAAGCTTCGGTCTTTTTCTAATCGTGCTGTCAAGAACTTTAATATTTAACATGCTAACTGAGGCCTGTTGAGTCTGAGATGTCACTCTTAGATTTTTTGCGGCTTCTCTGAGCATTGCGCGGTCAATTTGTGACGACCTTCACTCCTGGGAAGATTGGAAACTGTCTGATTGCTGCCTCTCCTGACATAAATGCTCCAGTACAGCAGAATGATAAAACGTCTACTTTTATGAAGATGCTCACAATTTCTGATGATCATTAAATAAATGCATTTGATCATTTTGGTGTAGTAATATATTTTTTGATGTTGTTCTGCTGAAGTTCTGTTTAACTCATTTAAGACCTGCTAAGAACCAAATGATGTCCCGAGTTTAAAGAATAACTGTATATTTAGAAAGTCTCTCTAAAAGTGAGGTAATAAACATTATGTACGGCTGTAAATACATTTGGGTGTTCTTAGTCAGAGTATAAGAAATAGCCTCCATAGCTTCCGTGCAGTAAATGCTTTACTGGAGTTTTTCTTCCCCCCCCAAAAAAAAATAATTAAAAATTAATTAGTAGTGGATGTGCATCTGAGCAGCAGAAAACGTGTACGACATATGCTTTACTGTGATATATTTGTATGAACAACTGTTCAAATTCAGCCTGACCTTAAGGCAAATATTCCTGTCTAGCAGGTACATGTTTTCACTGTTTTAGCAAACAGTCAGAATATGCTAGTGTACATGACGGTTTCATCTGATATCAGCCCACTCAGGATATCCTTTGAAACATTCAGGTTTAGGTTTCAAGCTTCTTACAGTTTAGAAGCAGCTTAGTCTCTGTTTCTTTGTCTTCCTGATGAGTTCAGGATCTGACATGGAAATTAAAAAACACACAGGTACGTCTCATATTTCTCCAGGTGTGTTTGGACTACTGGTTTATAGCAGTGAATACGATGTTTCTGAACTTCATAACCACTTTTCGGCAGAACGTCTTTTTGCCTTGTGTTATTTAAGTACATTTGCATTCAGAGGGACTCTTATTTCTTGTGACTCATGTTTCCTCCACCTCTGTCTGGTGCTATGACTGTGAGAAAAGCTCTTTTATCTGTGTGTCATCAGGCTGTTGTGTTCATGAGTCTTAGTGGGTCATGAGATGAGCTGCTGTTTCATTTCCCACATAAAATAATCTAATATATCACAGCTTAGACAATTTTAACTGTCCAAACAGCCATATGCTTGTTGTTGACTCAGCTCTGTCTATGTAATGTAACATGTTGTATAGGGTTTGTGTAACGACAAATGCACTAAGTACACATAATTCCTCTTTGTTTATATCCACATAAACCTTGCAGCATTACACTCGTACATCTGTATTATATTTAAGCTGTACATTCATGAACTTTACCCATATGTCTGTTGTGGTTTGGGGAATTTAATTAACTTAAATTGAAGGAAAACAAGGAGTCTCTGTCTCTTGTGTGAAGCAGTTCATCCACTGCTACAAGTTAAATGGAAATACTCCACCTGTTGCTGCAGGCTGCATATGTAAAAACAGCACAATGAAAGAATAAGTTCCTGAAGAGGTTCTATCAAATACATGACCTGCAGATTACAGTTGTGGAATATCTCTGTCATCTCTCTTCTCTCTCTCTCTATTTCTCTATCATCTTCATATATATATAATATATATATATAATATATCTATATATACTATAATTATCATATATATATAATATATAATATATTATATCAATATATATATAATATATAATATATATATATATTAATAAATATAAATTGAAAAGTTGCAGTGCATCAGTGCTTCAGAGCCACATCTCATGACCCTAAATAAAGAGACAGTCAGAGAATGTAATTTGTCATTTGGTTAAAAGGAATAATGACTAGGAGAAATCTTGTGTGAAGAATAAGTAAAAAGCAGCCCATGATGTCCAAAAAAAACCTTGCTGGACAATGATTTCAGATGAAAAGATCCAGTTATCTATTTACAATAGAATAAAATGCTATACATAATAGAATAAAATGCTATGTTTCGTAAGAAAAATTAAACTTAGTGGTATTGCACATGTGTGGATGCGTGTGTCTGTGTGTGTGTCTGTGTGCGTGTGTATGGTCATCTGTGAAGTCTCTGTTGTTGAGTCTGACAGCAGATGTAAGGAAAGACCAGCGAAATCACTCATTCTGTCACAGTCTACAATTCCTACAAGGAATTAAATATTATTTTTAATTTTTATTGTTTGAGTCGACTCTGAAAAAGATATGAAAATATTCATTACTTAAATTAGGTGACTTTTTTGCTAGAAATACTCATAGATCAGGGTAAAGTGGCTTAGGAGACAAGAAAACAAATAAACACACACAAAAAAACAACAACATTCCTCTTTAAATGATCGGGTACACGGACTGGTCTGAAAATGGGTGAAAAGCAGTCCATGATATCCAAAGGAAAAAACTCTTAAAACTATTTCTCAAGTTCACTTTAAAATATTTCAAGAAAATCTGGCTAACCCTTGGAAACAAAATACAAAGAAATATAAAGAAACGTGGCTCAAAGGCTTTTGCACATCACTGTATGCAATGATCATTGTGTCACTTCATTGTGTTTCTTCCTTTTGTCAACATTACTGAAAGTTGTAGTGACAGCCGTCGTGGAAAGACGTTACTTTTATTTTGAAATCAAAAATACTTGAACCTGATTGGTGCCTTTCGACGTGACGTCAGGACAGGAAATAGCCACGCAAGCCACTGGAATCATAACATTGCATTTGAAGAGTCTTTACTAACCCTGACATCATGGTTTTAGCTTTTTAATTTCGCTTTTTCTGATGACGGTTATTTCCGTTTATCTCGGAAAAGCGGAAGTTAGAGAAAAACTAAACTATATTTGAGCGCACTGCTAGCAAAACATGTCATTGGCCGCCGCGAAAGCAGCAACAGCAGCAACTAGCGATAGCTAGCAAATGGCTGCTTGGCTGTGATGTTTGTCACTGAGCGAAGTAAGTGTACCACTGTCACTTTTTTTTTTTTTTTTTAACACAGTATCTACTTTAAAATGTGTTTAATTCGCAGTAGTACTCATGCATTTATCCAGCAATAAATAATAGTGGCTGGAAATGAGGCGCAAAAGCAGCTAAATAACGGCCTGGCAGCTAAGAGGTTTCTTCTCATCACCCTAACTTGTGGTTTTGTGTGTTTTCCAGATGACAAGACGACGAGCAAAATAGTTGTGAAGGTGCTGGGGGCTTGTGTCCTGTACAGGGAAACTGTTAGTTAACAGTATGTGACACAGTAGCACTCTGCTGACTAAAAAAAGGGGGGTGAGAGTTGGTTTAAATCAAGATGCCTCGTCTGGAAGTGCTGGCCAACGTTGCTCTCAGGGTGCCGAGCATACTGGTGCTAGACCTGCTCTACAAATGTGACATTGAAGGTGTAACGGAGCACCTCAAGGCAAAAAATGAAGACATGCTCTTCAAATACAAGTATGTCATCTGGAACATGTATTACATTGGTAAGTTTCATCAAGTAAGGAGCTGGGAGAATAAGTAAATCTCTCTAATGTTAAGCTCCATGGCTTTTATTTGTCTCTCCTAACAAGAATTACACTGAGTCGCCCTCCTTCAAAAAGCTGTTTGCTTCAGAAGAATGACCTTAGTCTTGGTTTTACTGGAGTTTACTGTGGTGGTCTAAATCAGGGGTGGACATTTAATTTTCCCAAGGGGGCAAATGAGAAAGTGGGACTGTTGTGGAGGGCTGCACTAATAAGCAGAACTCAAATCTACTCAATATTAATTGGGTCATTACATCTTAAATAATCATATTGTTTTTTAGAGTATTTTCTGCTTAACCACCTCTGATTTGCCTGAAAATTTTATGGTTTCAAAATGTGAATTTTTATTGCTTTGTATATAAAATATTTTTCTATATGTTTATTTTTTTAACAGGCCCACCCACACACTTTCAGGCCTTTTCTAAAAAAATATTTTTCACTTTGAAATCTGAGGTGGTGTTTGAATATGATATGACTATCTTATTCAAACAGAGTTTTTAGGACTGATACATTAGAGACATGAATGGGTATTGGTTAGTTAAAGTATGTTTTACAAAAAAAAATAAAGCCACCCTTTAAAAAAATAAATAAATAAAATTCACATGAATAGTTTGTAGTTATATTTCACAATAATGTAAAATAAATCATGTGCAGTACTTTTTAACATGAAATTCTTAGTCACAATATTGAAGAAAATTCTATTTTCATTCTGCCTTCATGCTGATTTGAGCAAATCTGAATAAAACCAAATTCTGGTGCTTCCAGTTCATATTTTAATC